CCCCGGTCCCCGGTGTAGCCCTGGTGGGTGGGGAACCCGTGCTGCTTCCCCCGAAAACTCGCCTCGCGGCTGGGGTGCGGGAGAGGAGGCGCTGCCGGGGGCTTCGCCCGGGACGAGGGGTTTCCCGTGGGCGTCACCCGGGGGTGCTCCAGCCACGGCACACGTCCTGCAGGAGGAAAGCGAGCAAAGCCCACGCGTGGCGGCTGCTGCGGGCAGGTGCTCGTGCGTTGGGTCTGTGATGGACAGGCACAGGGTAGTGCAGGTGTGGAGGGTTAACGCTTCCCGACAACGTGGGCTGGGAAGTCTGCCGGGGAAACGCTCCGCCATCGGGAAACATGCCGACTTGCCAAAGCACAAGCCGCTTGCAAGAAGGAGATGGATCTGACGTAGCTTTTCTTCTGAAAAAAAAAGTTTAGAGGAAGGGTTTGAAACAGCTTAGACATCTTTTCAACATTATTGAAACATGAAAGTACTGTTTTTTAGTTTGCGGTGGTATTTGCTCTCTTCACTAGAGACAATTCCCACTGCCCGTCTCCAAGTCTCTGAAATTCTTACAGGACGAGGAAATCGCTTTCCACCCAGTCTTTTAAAAATCCGTTCTGCTGGGGATACTGATGTGATCCTGACAGAGCTGCTGAAAGCTCTCTTCTAAGACGGCTTGCTGACTGGGGGCCCTCAGTGGCTCATCTACACATTCACCAGTTCTCCCCATCCACGGTGGGCTCCACCAGCATCCCCTCAGTTAGGTGTCACCCTTCTGCAGTCTACTTGTGCCTTCTCCCCAGACATTTCCTCCCTGCACATCAAGAACAAGTGCCTCTTCTCCGAGGGTCTAGCGATGCTGCTGAGCTCTGCTGTTGCCCCACCATGTGCACAGCCACGCTGTGCCTCCACTGTGCCTAGGTTTGCTCCAAAACCGGGAGCGGGGGAGGAGGCAGAGGCACCGGTGTCAAGTCAGGAAGGACTTTGCCCCATGCTTGCCACTTCAGATCCATAGGAGAAACAGAGTCTAAGTGCACTAAGTAAGGCCTCGATGACCTTGACTCACCTACCCATGGGGCAGGAGCTCCACTTCAACTCAGCCTCAGTAGCAGTCCCTGCCCAGCTACGTCGCAGGTGTTTCTCTCTCCAGCCCCATCTCCTGGGTGGACCTTGGACCTGTGTTTCCAGTTCTGTTCCGGGCACCATCTCCCGCTGCTCCTGCCTGGACTCCCTGGGTGGACCTTGTACCTGCTTCATGACCTTGCCTCGTCTGAGCGTGTCAGTGGGTCCAACCACCAGTGCCTGCTCTGCCTGCCCTGCTCAGGTGCTGCAGGACTCTGCTGGTGAGGGCCACCGCCATGGCTCCGGCCACCCCCAGCTCATCTCCCCGTGGGGCAGCCCCGCTCTGCCGCTCCCTGAGGCGGTGGCAGAATCGCTGCCCAGAAAACTGGCGGCAGCAGGACTCCAGCGAGAAGAAAGCTGTCAGGCAAAAGCCAGAAAGAGAGGCATTTGCGTGGATAGGGGACGAGTAAGCACATCTTTCTTGGTGAGGAAGGTGATGCTAGAAAGAGCTTATTTTTGTTTCCTTGTCTCTTCACTGACCTGGCAGCAGAGGGGCAGAGCTAGCAGTACTCAGCCGACACCGAGTACTGAAAACAGCTAATGCGAGTGGCTTTGTGGGAGTATTGCCGCAGCTGCTTGCTGTACGAGCTTTTTCCGTCGTATTCCTGGGCGAGCGAATGGCAGTGACTGGTACCTTCTCTGCAGCTGGGCAAAGAGGGCTGCCTAGGCAGAGAAGCTGTGGCCTCCAAGATGAAGTCAGTACAGCTTCTCTTCTTTCCCTTACGAAGCAAGTGCAGAGAGGGAGACTAGACTGAGGGGAAAACGAGGTCCTGGGTGGGGACAGAGAAAAAGCTGGGGAGGTTCACTTGGCTCTGGGGTCATTGTCAGAGAAATTCTAGATACGACGTGATACACGACAGAGACGATGCTAAAGGCAGGTCCCTTCTTCAGTCCTCTGACAAGACCTGCCAGTCAGTTATATAGGATGGTTTTACTTGCCGATCTCATGCAGAGTTGGAAGGTGAGCCCATGGAACGGAAAAATGCAGAAGCTGCTTGAAATAAATTCATTGGTAACAACAGATCGGTTTATTTAGATTGCTATCTAATACTGGCCGATATACCTGCAAGCCAAGTTTCAGTGAGTGAAACAGAGTTGTTTCACACACCCTTAATGCAACTGTGTATTATGGCAATGTGGTCTTTTTGTTGTTTTCTTTCTCTCCGCCCCCCGCCCCCCCCCTTTTTTTTTGCTG